TCTCCCTGAAGTTGTTTCTTCTGTCTCTCCTTTGAACCCCAGGGATCACCCTTCTCTGCATAGAGAAACTGTTCCGGGGGTGCACGGTGGGGCGCTTTGGACCAAGGGGAGGTGGAGATCTGAGGCTTTCAGGAATGTTTGTCAGAACGATCTTGCGCTCTTTTTTCTTTTAAAGGCACAAGTGACCCCTATGTGAAATTTAAGCTGAATGGGAAGACGCTGTACAAAAGCAAAGTCATCTATAAGAACTTGAACCCGGTGTGGGATGAGATCGTCGTGTTGCCCATACAAAGCCTTGATCCAAAGCTACGTGTGAAGGTAACCGATGCCTATCTAGCCCCCTTTTGTTAGAAACATTGATTTCTCAACACATTTTGGGTACTTGCAAACATGAACTTGGCGGAATTAATTGCTTTACTCTCAATCACTGTTTTAAAATAATGTGGAAGGAAATCTTTATGTCAGTTGTCAAAAGTGTTTCTCTGAGATCACTGTGATATGTTCTATAGAAAATCAGGAGGAAAACAGTATCCTCATCAATTGTATTTAAACTTATCAGATGTGGAAGAATTATTACCTGGAGTGCAGTGGTGACAAGTACTAAAGTCTTTCTCATGAGGAATAACTTTGTACTTAATAGCGCTTTAAGTTCCTGCTTGTAAGCATCAATTGCTTTAACATCTGGGTTAAAACTGCATGAGCTGAGTGCAGGATGGGATCGCTATAGAATATTTAGCAAATTTCTATTTAATTGGCAGATCTGCTCACCATGGAAATACTTAATTTTAATGAGAGACAATTTAAGCTAGAGAGCGAGGGCCATTGTGCATAACACTATAAGGCATGTGAATCCTGCCTTAAATGTATTTTCCTCTGTTGCTTTGCTGTCAGCAGGCAAAATGGCTCTGTCTGAATTATTGTGCTCTCTCTACTTGTTATAGTTACTCCCTTCTCCTTTAACTGGACTGTGTAAGTTACTTTTAGGGAATGAATTCAAAATCATCAGCCTATTTCATTTGCTAATAATTGGATAAACTTGGTGGTTTAATGTAATCATGTGTTTTACTGGCCCCACCTGTTTGCAGGTGTATGATCGAGACTTAACAACCTCTGATTTCATGGGTTCAGCATTTGTCAATCTCAGTGATCTTGAGCTGAACAGGTATTGTATTTTTTTACCTTCTAATTATTAGTAACGAATTTGATATTCAGTGGGGTTTGTTGAGATCAAAAATAAAATAAACAGCCTATATCGGAATAAATAAAACAGCTTTTTTAAATGAAGCATGGCAATTTCTAACGTGTTCTATGATTTTTGCTTTCTAGCTCCCAGATATATTAGTTAGGCATTAAATCTTCCATCATGTGTTTCAAAATATATATTGAATTTTACGCATTCATTTGTTAGTATTCAGGTTCATTAACGTCACATAAAATGAATACATGCATTTATGCGTTTACTCGTGAGGTGGGGAGGGGACCCAGCTAACCAACTGTTGAATTAATCTCTTCCCGACATTTCTCTATACTTATGGCCATTGTTCTCTTTTCATTGTGTTTGGGGCTTCTTAAACAATGTGTTTAATCCTTATTCACAGAGAAGTGACTTCATCCTAAGCCACTGCATTATGAAACTTTTATAGTATCTGGAGGTGGTAACAGTTTCATTGCTTTTTGCTTATAGAACAACTGAACACATTTTAAAACTGGAAGATCCAAACAGTTTGGAGGATGACATGGGCGTGATTGTTTTAAACTTGAACCTAGTGGTTAAACAGGGTGATTTCAAGAGACATGTAAGTTTGACTTTTTGTTTTGTTCTGTTCTTTTAAATAATAATAGCTTCTTCATTGCCATTTTCCTTTGATTGCTGGGCTGCCAAATCATCTGAAATAATTTTGGTAATTATTTCAGAGGAAAATGAATAATTTTACAGATATTTAAATGACCTTAGAACTCTTGAGAGAAACCCTCCTAAGGAAGTATCTCTAGTTTGGCTTAGGATATGACTGATGTTGCC